TCCTCCAGGGGGCAGCAGAGGAAGTCCAAGTCTTCACCACCTAAACTACAGTCAGTTGACGATCCGGTGGTTATAACCTTTGTTTTCCTTACATTCAGTAACAGTCATGTTTTTGCAGTCTGTTCATTAACTTTCCTTGTGAAAATCTGCAGATCTTCTTCACCCTCTCCAGTAAGCGTGGTCATCAGTGTACTGAAGGCTGTTGTGTCATCCTCCAACCCAGAGCTGTCTTCTACTAGTCAAACCTTTCTTGTTATATGTGTACAAGACTAATTGTTTTGGCGATAGTCTGCATCCCTGTCTAACTCCTGGATCCTTCCTGACAGTGTAGAAATTCCTGAGAATTACCTGAGAACATTCCATGTTATGACCAAGTCAACAGAATTGCAGATTTTTTTTATAATCATTAAAGAAAATGTTCCCCTCTTTCAGGCATTCCTTGATTTTTCGATTATCCATCATACCTGAAGAACAATGTCATGAAGAACTTTCCTTCGCTTTCTCTGAATACAGCCTGTACTGTACATCTGATAATTCTTTTTCTTTGTAGGGGTCTAAACTACATTAATTTTTTTTTTGATTTAGGAAATTGCACATGGTCTTCATCCTCTGCAGGTCTCAGTGTTGGAAAACAAACATCTAGTCGAGCAGGTCAAGCATCTTAAATCACTCTTGTGTTTTCTCTGTAGCCAATAGCCATCCTCCAGGTAATTTCTTGGAAGTCTGATGGCCTGGTTGTTCCCTTTCAGCATCACTTGGAGCTTCCACATAAGTAGTTCATGATCTGTTCCACAATCTGTTCCAGGCCATGTCTCTGCTATTTGAAGTGAATCTCATTTGGCACAGAAAATGTAGTCTATTTTGCTTCCATGACCTCCATCTGGTGATGTCCAGGTGTATAGATGCTTGAAGAGTATGTTGGCAACCAAGAGGCTGTTCTTCTCTGCTTTTGCCTGGTCCGTCTGCTAGGACCCGTGTACCAGGTGACCATGACAGAAAATTCCAGGTAACATAACTATAAGCATCATAAGCTCATGTGAGGGAGTCTCCTCACCTTCACAGCAAGGCTTGGCATCATGAGGGGATTTTCATTTGCTGATTTTTTATATATATTTACTCATATTGGCGTCAATGCTCATGAGGAAGTTTTGTATGTTGATTGGGAAAAGGTGAGCAAAGCATTCAAGCTGCGTTTCTCATTATAAAGGTGAGTCTTAGCACTTCTAAAAGTGTGATGTGGTCGTCCAGCAGGACACCGGTATACAGATGGCAGCTCAGGTCCCTTTGTGTCACCTAAGGAGCTTCAGAAATGCCAGGCAGCTCTAGGTCTGCGCCCAGTCTTCTGTCCTGTTGTTGGGCGTCTCCTTCTGTCACCACAAACTGAATTCATGCTGGATGCAGGATGCTGCCAGTGTTACTGCTCAGGCTGCTTTTTTTTCCATGTTTTGTCAGGAAGCCAAAAACTGTGGGACAGAGAGCGAAAGGGCGTAGCCTATTGCTTCACCATTACTCAGAAAATGCAAGAATATTTCATATAACAGACATAAATATTTAATTGCTGGAGAAATAAAAAGCATTTTAATATTCACAAACAACAGCATGTTGCACACTGAGCATTAAAAAAAACTTCAAGATTACTTGGATCAGTATCAAGCTTTGGGGGACCTTGGGTTGTGAGCAGGAAATCAAATTTCTCTGCTAAATTTAGGTGATGCTCACATTGCATAGGATCTCTAAACTTTAAGAAAGAAAGAAAAGTCAGATCTGTTCACTGGTGTCGATCAAGGCAAGACGGCATGATCCAACTACAGTGGTAGCTTCACCCCCCTGCTGTCCAGGCAGATGTGCGTTTAATGCCCTGAGATGGGGACATTGATCTTTAGCTGAGTGAGTAAATCCTGTTACTTACTTCTTACTGGTGCCATAGTTTCCATGCTAAAGACATGATTTACATGCTGCAAACTGATACCTATTAGTTGCTGCTTAATAAGTAATGAAGTGGCTTTTTGGCAGTTAGAGTGGGAGACAATGGCGGAACACAATAAAATGTGGAAGGTCTGACTAACAAAGGCAAATAAGTGAGCACAGTGGAGCTCGAGGGATCAATATGCACCAAGCGCTGCAGAGATGTCAGGCCCAAGAGGCTTGGGCCTCAGTCCACTAATCCTCTAATCTGGGTTCAGTGCCGGGTCAGTGCCCTGGAATGGTGCCCTCAACTGCTACGAGCACATCCAGAGGGCCGACACAGGTCCAATTACTGACACCACAGATCTGTGGCAATAAAGCTCAGATGATTGCAAATGTGATTTAAACACAGGAACTTCAAAGAAAATGCTGGCCGATACATGTTTCATTTTTATGTGGTGCGCAGTTTATATCTAGTCTTTATATCTGATGTTTAAACGTTGCAGCAAAGGGCATAGGAGAGAGCTTGATATGGGGGGGATCCAACTTCACAAATGTAAAGGATTTTTATTTTGGGGGGGAGGCAAATGAAATAAATGACTTGAGAGTTGTTTGTTAGAAAGATGCATCACTATCTGCAAATACATAGACATAAAAACTGCCTGAGGGTAAGTCTAAGTGGACACGATCTTTTAAGCCTATTTCTGTCTATAAAGGACGTATCCTACGACGTACTGTGGTGGGGTTCTGCTGCAGCAAGCTACAAAGTTGCCCAGTCTGTTTTTCTCTTTCCCAGTTCTAACCCAAAGGCCGTGATGCATATTTTATAAAGCTTGGTGTTTCCAAAAGAGTGGGAAATAGGTTCAGCCCCTGTTGCTGTAAACCTCTCATCTTAATAAAGAAAGAAGTTGCTGTCCGGCGACCCATGAGCTGATTTTTAGCACCGGTATATTAGTCACATTGGTGAGGATAAAAGATTACCTGCCAAACTGTATGATATCAACAGTATAATATCGTTGTTACAGTTTTATTACCGCTTACTTGTTCATTTGCTTATGTCACGGATGATGATGGACTCGAATTCCCAGAATGCTTTGCGGGACACGGCCTCGTAGGCAGCCAATGGCGGCGTCCCGGGAGCGGTCCCGTCACTGCGAATGAGCTCGCTGTCCGCGGCGGCGCAAAAACAGACGCAGAAATCCGCTAAGCCCGAAGCGCTCAGTCGTGCTCGCTGGGTCAGTATGTGCATTTTTCACTTTAATATTTTATGAGGATACCGCCGAGTAGCTCGCAGACTAACACCGCGGCGCATTTCAGACGGCAGCGCGTACGGCAGTCGGCAGGTGGCGTGTTAATTAGGCTGTCCCGAGTGAGGCTCGCTCCATTAGCCAGCTAGCTAGCCTCCCGGTGCTGGCGGCGGCGGTGGGTTCCGCCGTTAAACTTATATAACTCTGCCTTACGGGATGCCCTCTTAGGGAGGGAAAAGGACCATTCCTCTGCCCCTTTAGTCCTATAGTTCGCTTGCCCGATGTCTGCTAGCCGGACAGCTTCGTGTAAGAAGCGTTTGTTCCGCTCCTCAAAACTTTAGTTGTCACCAACTTCAGACATTCGCTGGACAATGAGGCTTGACTGGGGGCATGTCCGGCCCGGCGTCTCCTCCGGCTGTGTGGCCTGAAAATTCGCCAGATCGGCCGTCGTGAGGCGACCTGCAGCTTGTCCCTCGATGTGTGTGAGGCTGTGCGGTTCCAGAGGACCGCCGGGGTGAGACCGGAGGGTGTTTTATTCCGGTTACTTGGAGATTGTGGTGACCAGCAGCTAGGCCGAACAGTCGTGCTCACTCACAGCTAGATACTGTATGTCCCGGTTTTGCTTCGCCCATAAAAGTTACTTAGTCAGGCACTCGGGCTGTAGGTGTCATCCGCTAAATCATGACTAGTCTGGACTCCGGCAGGAGGACCTGTCCTCCCGCGATGTTCTGACTGCAGGCTTGTCCGGTTTGGCTGTACAGGTTCCCGGCTGAAGTATCCCACTCCTTCAAGTTACTGTATTATGTCCTTGCTAATTATATGTTGAAAGTAGTTTGCAGAAACAGGAATCCATACCAACATATCAAATATAGTCACGTGGATTGTAATGACGGTGTGTTGGGAGGCAAGTGACAGCTGGTTTAAAAAAAATCCACTGAACATTTTTGTCTTTACATTTTCAGGGGTTTTGAAAATGAACATTCAGATTAAGCGAAATATTAGTAAGCAGGATATTGTGGGGGAATGTAACTGTGCCTGGTGAAATCTGAGCTGTGGGTATTGACAGAGCATTTGTGTAAATGCTTAAGATGCGATGTGTCCTGACTGCAAAGTGTGTGAATTTCACTCCAGTTAGAGAATATGCAGAAAGAACCATTCCCTAATGGTAGAACAATTTATGGGTGAAATTGGGGTTTACACAGATGGTGCACATGTTTTTAATGCACTGATTAAACTTTATTGCCACCAAAAGCATCTTTGTAGTGAAATGTCTTGACCAATCAGCCATGCCCAATAAACAAATCCGTTGCTTTGCTGTTTCGAGGGCGGTGCTGATTTTGACGGTGTGCTTGAACTCACTGCAGATTGCCTGCTTCATTATTGTAACCATTACAATCATCAATTGTAATGACCTTGCTGTGGCTTAGCGTGGGTCTCACATGGTCAGATTATGCAGATATGAATGTTAAAAATATTCCCCGTGGCCTGACTTGGCTGGGCAAGGTTCCCATGCACTTTACCTCACCTTATATTCATTTAGGTCAGCTGCACTATGACCTCCTAGCCCCAGTCTGCGTTAACCATCAACCGCTGGTGATTGCATGACGGCTCGTGGCGAGTGGGACTTTGCTTTACAGCTGCTGTGTTTCGTCAGTGACAGAGCTGGCTTTTTATCCGCCCCTCCCCAGCTGGAAGTGTCTCGTCCAGAGCACCCTGAGCTATGGCCTCCGCTCCGTTACCAGTGTACAACTCAAACTCTCTGGATATAAGCTCCTGCAAAAACGTAAGTAACCGTTTCTCCCTGGGTGTTATTAAGACTCCTGCAGCATGGTGTCACTGTCGGGCTGGGACAGGGTGTGAGCCGAGTGTGGGAAGCGAGATGTGCAGTGCCGTGCAGGCAATGCGGCGCAGTGCATCTCTGCTGCTGCATTATCTTCTGCTTACCTGTGACAGTAAAAATAAAGTTGCTGGAGTGGCTGCGACTCATCCCGCTGACGCCGCGTAATTCTATTCCTGTCTGAAGGCCGGCGTGCTGGGGGCGCCGACTCATCGTTGCTGCATTTTTTTCTTATCAGCCAGGATGATCTCACTGTGGGGCCACTGACCACATGCTCTCTCTCCATTCGTCACCACACCAACTGTGGCCTTCCCCGGCTGTCACTCTGCCTCCAGAGTGCAGCACCTTTGCATCTGAATGTCACATTTTTGCCTTGGAAAATATGCCCCTCTAGTGGCTCAGGGACAGTTTCCTTTATGTGTTGTACAGATGTTGAAGGTTAACCAATGTCGAAAATGAATGATAATCTCTGTTCTCTGAGCTTAAATGAGCTTAATGTGCCATTGCTGTCCTTTTCACTGGTTAGTCCTACAGGGACGCACATCCTTGGTTGGCTTTTGCCACTGTGCAGTGAAGTGTCCACACTGGCGATACTGTGCAGTGAAGTGTCCACACTGGCGATACTGTGCAGTGAAGTGTCCACACTGGCGATACAGGCCTGCACTGAGGTGGCTCACAGCCTACAGGGTTTTCATCCATTCCAGTCCCTGGTATCCAGTGTGAGATGGACTGCGTTTTGTGCTGCGCCTCTCACCTTATAGCTACCCATTAGTTGTTCGAAGAACCAAAGAGCATGTCATTACCCAGAAGCCCCCAGTGTGTGGTCACACACTGTGTGGCATCCTGCTCTGCGGGCAGCCATGCTTTCTGCTTCATTGATCATTGACTGAGCTAGACAAAGTGCTGCTGTACACATTTTTATATAAATGTGATAAAGGAGAGATGTTACAAAGGACAATGGAGCAGCAAATGGATCCGCTGGGAGCAGATCCCTCCAGGCTGTGGCTGTGCCATATGGGATCATTTCAGTTTTTATCTCCCATTCTTTTCTTCTCTCTCTCACCCCTGTGTGACTGTAATGCAGCATCTTTAAGCAGAGTTAAGTAGAGCCCTTACTGGTCGGTATTTTTAGTCCTAATTGTGTAAGGAGGCTTTTTCTTTAAATCTTGTAAATCATTGTAGGTGTCAAGGGAGAGCCTTAGGATGGAGCTGCTCACTGACGCCCCCTTGCTGCCCGGGGAGGAGAGGGTGATCGGTGAGTCTCTCTCGCATCCTCTGTGTTTAGTTGTGGAGATGGACGTTCTTCAGAAGGTGGGAATCACTGATTTGGTCGACCAGTACGTACAGCGGTCGTGTGTTGTGGATCTAGACTCAGTGGAGTGTGAATGTCAGTGTGGATGGTTAAATTAAGGTATGGGGGTGTCTTTAAATCAGTACTGACTCCTCTCTCTTTCCTCAGACAAAGACATCATCTACATTTGCCCCTTCAGCGGGGCAATAAAGGGCAGAGTGCTCATCTCCAACTACAGGCTGTTCTTCAGGAACGTTGATGCTGTGAGTCCCACTTGTGGTGTTTGTTTCTGACGTGTCCACATTTCCATGCTCAGTAAACGAATGCATTTTACTGTAAGCGGTGAGTCGGACTTCACTGTGACCCGCTTGTTCACTGCGCAGTATAGACTGGACTCATTGAAAGTCAGGCCTCGGTGTTTTAAAGAAGTGAGCAACATGTCAGGCCGTCCCGTGTTTAAGTTCTGTTGGAGTGTGTGGGCGTCAGTGTCCCCACCCATCACCTCTGGCCTGTAGTGGGCAGCACTGACCTGGTTCTCTTCCTCTGCCGGGCAGGACCCTGCGGTGACTCTTGAGGTGCCACTAGGAGCCATAAGTCGGGTGGAGAAGATGGGTGGGGCTTCGAGCCGCGGGGAGAATTCCTATGGACTTGACATCACATGCAAGGTCCCGCCCACTTTCTGTTTTGGGCCAGCCAGTGGGAAAGCGTCAGGCCTAGCACTCGGCCCAACCTGTGCCCATTTTGTGTGCCTTGCAGGACATGAGGAATCTACGATTTGCTCTAAAACAGGAGGGCCACAGCAGAAGGGACATCTTTGACATCCTGTTTCGATACGCCTTCCCCCTTTCCCACGGACTGGTCAGTCAGAGTCTGCCCCCTGTGGCTTCCCATTGGTTATTGATGAGCCACACAGATACAGATGCGCACACACACAGATACAGATGCGCACAGATACAGATGCGCACACACACAGATACAGATGCGCACACACACAGACAGGCAGACACAGACACAGACAGACAGGCACACACACACACACACACCTGTAAACATGCACATGCTCCTTAGCAAAATGCATCAGAGCACCGTCATTTTCTGCCACAGCAGCAGGCGTGAGATGTGGTCATGTGATGAGTGTCACATGACTCCTTGGCTTTCCTCCTTTCTTCACAGCAACTGTTTGCTTTCCTGAGCCAGGAGAAGTTTCCGGAAAACGGCTGGAACGTTTACAACCCCATGCAGGAATTCAGGCGACAGGTGGGGCTCTTTTGATATTGTGACCCCTCCCCACCCCTTCTTTGTATCTGTGTGTTTTCCCGGCTGTTATTTTTGGTCAGTTCACAGTGAGGTTTCACCCTCAATTCACTTTTAGCTCCCTGAGTATCTTTACATAAATGTTTATTTCTCCTGCTCTTCTGTGTTGTATTTAATCTTCCCTTTTTCTTCTGTTGATGATGCTGTGTTTCGCTTCCTCTCTTCATGTCCTCTTGCTCGACAACCTCTTCTCAGCCTTTGTTCTCGTGCCCCTAGGGCCTGCCTAACGATCAGTGGAGGGTCACCTTCTTAAACAGCACCTACGAGCTGTGTGACACCTATCCCAGCATCCTGGTCGTCCCGTACACAGCCTCCGATGAGGACCTGCGCAGGGTGGCCACCTTCCGTTCTCGTAGCCGGATTTCTGTGAGTCCCACGCGCTGCTGTCACTCTGCGAGGCCTCTTCATGACCGCCTCCTTACCTGCACCCTCCCCCCGGTCCCAGGTGCTGTCGTGGATACACCCAGAGAACCAGGCCGTGATCACACGCTGCAGCCAGCCCCTGGTTGGCATGGGGGGGAAACGTAATCGTGATGACGAGCGCTACCTAGAGCTCATCCGCGCCACCAACAGGACGACCAGCAAGCTCACCATCTTCGATGCACGGCCCAACGTCAACGCCGTCGCCAACAAGGCAGGAGCTGATCGGGGCGACTGACTGTGTCTCTGCGTGTCTCTGCTTGTCTGTCTGCCTGTGTCTGTGTGCCTGTCTGTCTCTCCCTCGCTCTCTGTCTGCCTGCCTGTCTGTCTCTCCCTCGCTCTCTGTCTGCCTGCCTGTCTCTCTCTCTCCCTCTGTCTCTCTGTCTGTCTCTTTGCCTGCCGGTCTTTATGGGCCTCAAACTGCTTGCAGGCCACAGGCGGTGGGTACGAGGGCGAAGATGCTTACCAGAATGCCGAGCTGGTGTTCCTGGACATCCAAAATATCCATGTGATGCGTGAGTCGCTGAAGAAGCTGAAGGACATCGTGTTCCCCAACGTGGAGGAGTCCCACTGGCTGTCCAGCCTGGAGTCCACGCACTGGCTAGAGCACATCAAGGTACCTGGGCGATGCCGGGGCTCCCTGCATGCTGGCCGAAGCGCTGCTTCCTCGCCGGCTGCTTCGGATGCTGAGCTCTCTCATCTGAAATTGTCACTGTAGCCCAACCGCTAATGCCTGATGCAGTGGCTCACGAGTGTAAATAGGAACTGGCCTGGTTCATTCAGAAGCTCAGGCGTTTTGTTTGTGTTTTTGTCCATTAGCTGGTATCTGTTGCAGTTCTGACAGGGAACCTGAATTTCAGTGGGTTCTGTGCCCCATACTCCAGCTAGCTGCCACTGTGCATTACTAAGCATTATTGTGGTAGATGTAAGGAATGCAGCCTGTCCATTTAGCTGCTATTTCTAAGCGTCGGTAAGTGTGTGCACCCACTCCCCAGGCCCATGGTCTGCCCCCACTGACCTCCCCGTTTACCTCCCGCCCCCAGCTGGTGCTCTCGGGGGCCATCCAGGTGGCAGACCGGATCTCGTCAGGCAGCTCGGTGGTGGTGCACTGCAGTGACGGCTGGGACCGCACTGCGCAGCTGAGCTCGCTGGCCATGCTCATGCTGGACGGCTACTACCGCACGCTGAGGGGNTGCCTGTCTGTCTCTCCCTCGCTCTCTGTCTGCCTGCCTGTCTCTCTCTCTCCCTCTGTCTCTCTGTCTGTCTCTTTGCCTGCCGGTCTTTATGGGCCTCAAACTGCTTGCAGGCCACAGGCGGTGGGTACGAGGGCGAAGATGCTTACCAGAATGCCGAGCTGGTGTTCCTGGACATCCAAAATATCCATGTGATGCGTGAGTCGCTGAAGAAGCTGAAGGACATCGTGTTCCCCAACGTGGAGGAGTCCCACTGGCTGTCCAGCCTGGAGTCCACGCACTGGCTAGAGCACATCAAGGTACCTGGGCGATGCCGGGGCTCCCTGCATGCTGGCCGAAGCGCTGCTTCCTCGCCGGCTGCTTCGGATGCTGAGCTCTCTCATCTGAAATTGTCACTGTAGCCCAACCGCTAATGCCTGATGCAGTGGCTCACGAGTGTAAATAGGAACTGGCCTGGTTCATTCAGAAACTCAGGCGTTTTGTTTGTGTTTTTGTCCATTAGCTGGTATCTGTTGCAGTTCTGACAGGGAACCTGAATTTCAGTGGGTTCTGTGCCCCATACTCCAGCTAGCTGCCACTGTGCATTACTAAGCATTATTGTGGTAGATGTAAGGAATGCAGCCTGTCCATTTAGCTGCTATTTCTAAGCGTCGGTAAGTGTGTGCACCCACTCCCCAGGCCCATGGTCTGCCCCCACTGACCTCCCCGTTTACCTCCCGCCCCCAGCTGGTGCTCTCGGGGGCCATCCAGGTGGCAGACCGGATCTCGTCAGGCAGCTCGGTGGTGGTGCACTGCAGTGACGGCTGGGACCGCACTGCGCAGCTGAGCTCGCTGGCCATGCTCATGCTGGACGGCTACTACCGCACGCTGAGGGGTTTCCAGGTGCTGCTGGAGAAGGAGTGGCTCAGCTTCGGGCACAAGTTCGCGTCTGTGAGTCACTGTCGCCGCCCTGCTGGTCGTTGGGAGTTGTGGCCCCTTGCGGTGGAGGTTATCACAAAGCATTCATTTAAGCAAATAAAGATTACGAGGATGGTAGTGGTGATCCCGCATTCCTGCGCACTGCATGTGAGCACGGTGTCCACGAGGCGTTCATCCCATGTTGCTGTGATACTCGTCCCTACTGGGTCCCCCCCCCCCCCCCTCGTAAATTTATGCTCTGTGAAGTTTGTTGGAAAGAGTGATTTTGTTCTTTGTTGTCCCTTATCCACATGACCTTGTTTGGCTTCTCCTGCTAACCCTAACCCTAACCCAAACCCTAACCCTGACCTCCTTCTGGGCCTCAAGCTTGCTATTATTTTTGACTCCCTATATCTGACTGGTACTGGGCTTAGGGCTGCCCCCTCCAGCTCGGCATGGGGGAGTTTCTCACACCCTGTCCACACGATCCTGATAAGTAAACTGGGCAGTGTCATGGAGTTTCCTGCAGTGAGTGGCTGTGCATCTGCGCAGTCACATCCTGCCTGGTCTCCTTGCTGCCTGCACTTCCTCAGGGCTTGTGGGAGGGGCGAGCGTGTGAAGGGGCCCCTGATCGCCTCTCTGTGTCCTCAGAGGATCGGCCATGGCGATAAGAACCACGCTGACGCTGACCGCTCTCCCATCTTCCTGCAGTTTGTGGATTGTGTGTGGCAGATGACCAAGCAGGTGAGATACTGAGCTCCGACCGCGTCTGTGCTCCGCGCTCTCCCGTCCGCGTCCGTGCTCCGCGCCCTCCCGTCCGCGTCCGTGCTCCCCGCCGTCCCGTCCGCGTCCGAGCTCCGCGCCCTCCCGACCGCGCCCGAGCTCCGCGCCCTCCCGACCGCGCCCGAGCTCCGCGCCCTCCCGACCGTGTCCATGCTTCGCGCTCTCCCGACCGTGTGCGTATAAGCCCTTGCGGCTAGGTAACAGTTTCCCGGCTTTTCAGTTCCCCACAGCGTTCCAGTTCAACGAACACTTCTTGGTGACCCTGCTGGACCACCTATACAGCTGCCGCTTTGGGACGTTCCTGTTCAACTGCGAGAGCATGCGGGAAGCTAGCGTAAGACCCCAGCCCCCCCACTGGCACGCACCCCAGCCCCCTGCAGTCTCACAAGGGCACTGGAGTGACGGTGTAACGGTTGTGCGGCTCTTTCAGGAGGTGAAGAAGAAGACGGTGTCCTTGTGGTCCTTCATCAACAGCGAGCCGTCCTCCTACAGCAACCCCTTCTTCACGGTGGACCTCAGCCACGTGCTCTACCCTGTGGCCAGTATGCGGCACCTGGAGCTCTGGGTGTCCTACTACATCCGGTGGAACCCACGCATCCGGCAGCAGGTACTGGAGGAAGGCGCCGCCCCGTCACTGTGTGACCTGTGCCAGTAACAGTGATGCCTGTGTCGTGTCACTCTGAGCCACTGTCTGTCCGCCTGTGTCTGTGTGCTTGTCTTTCTCTCTACCTCTGTCTCTTTCTACCTGAGCCTGCGTCTCACACTGGCCACATCCTGTCTTCCATGCTTAACTTAAAGTAAAACTTACTGTTAGCTGCCGGTACCTCCATGATTTTATAGTGATAGATAATTATTCTGTTTCGCCCAGCAAATGTATCCCAGCTCTCATTAAAAAGATGATTTCTGAAATACTGTAAGAAGTCCCCAAATGAAGGGTCTCACTCCTGTTTACTCCTAGACCCAAAGCAGCATCTTTCCTTAACAAGGACGCTGGCGGTACTAGGGGCTATGAAAGTAAATAACATAAAGGAAATACTACTTTGTAATAGTATTTAGAATGAAAATCTGAGTGCTTCAGAACAAAACCAAATTTGCTGTAATACAGAAATGGGACAGGTGTGCTAGAAATGGAGCCCTAAGGGCTGTAGCTGCCCGTTTGGTGTAAATCGGGAAGTGTCACATTATCGGGAACCAGAAGCAGTCAGATTTGGTCTTTAGATTCCTGCAGGTAGATCGTCTGGATCTGGGATGGTCAGTCCATTGAGGCACCAGCAGGCAACACAGTCTGTGTGCTGGTCCCTAGCAAAGAAGAACTGTGGCTGTATATTGGCTTCATCTTGCTGGTTAGATGAAGCCAATGAAAATACAGGAACAGAGGCAGCAGCGTTTGTAAGCGTTGTGGTGCAGAGATGCAGATGTGGGCTTTGAATGCCTGACGGTGCAGGAAGAGCTTAAACGAGGACGAGTGCCATGCCGCTCTGGGAAGCGCCATGCGCTGCCCTGGCCACTGGGGGGCACACGTGCTGCCTGACTGGTGCTGTTCTCCATCAGGATGCCTCTTCTGCAGGAGACTTCCTGTATTTCTGAGGGTGCTTTGCTTTTTGTAATGTAACTAGGTGTAGCTAGGTGTGCAACGAGACACATTGTAAAGACCCCGCAGCATGTGCTCTGTGCTGTATTGCTATGTCCTGCCTCTGACCTCTGACCTCTCACCCCTCCCCCCGTTGGCAGCAGCAGAGTCCAATGGAGCAGCGCTATAAGGAGCTTCTGGCCCTTAAGGAGCAGTACCTGAAGAAGCTGGAGGAGCTCCAGCTTTCGGACCGGGCCCCACAGGTGTTTCCCCGGGGCCCACACCTGTCAAACAGCGCCAGCCCCTCCCCCAGCTCGCCCCCACCACGGGTCACACGCCTGCAAACCCCCTTCTAACGCTTAGCCCCGCCTCTGAGGAGTCAGACATCATGACGACGTTGCCAGTAATGACCGAAGTTGGGACGGCGACGGTAATGAAACTACAGCGCAATAAATCACAGGAAAGCCTTGGTGACGGACAGAAGCCTTAAGGGGAGTGTGTGTCGTATACATGCTAGGGACGTGTGTGGTGGCCAGCCTGTCCCCTCTCTAAGCTTTACGGCGTGAAATGAGCACCGCCCCCCACCCCCCTGGACCCCACAACCTCTCCCTGGGGTCCAGGGGGCCCCTCAGCCTCTACACTGACTGGTACCATTTAAGGGAAAAAATAACGTTTAATTTATATATCAATAAATTATACCATATATATGGTATAATTATACGTATTTATATATATAATTTTTTTGTTGCACCTTTTTCAGTATTCAGTTTTGCTGCACTGCCCGTTATTAGCATTTTTTTTTTTTTATTTTAATGCAGTGTGATCTGCATTGACTGCAGTGCTCTTCTCTGACATTTCAGTACCCTGGATTTCTCTCCTCTGACATTTCAGTACCCTGGATTTCTCTCCTCTGACATTTCAGTACCCTGGATTTCTCTTCTCTGAAGTGTGTGGGATATGACTTCAGGTTGGTGTGAGTTTGTCAGAAGTGCAGGGAGTGTTTTGGGTGTTTCGCATTTCCTGTCATTCTCCTTATAACTGACATTGACTTTTTTTGATCGAACCACAAAAGTTTTAAATGCGTTGTTCAGCTGAGAATATAAAACACAGTCTGAGCTCTGGCTTTTAATATCTTGTTAATTTGCCTTTCAGTATCTGCTAATGGTTACTAATGGAATTTCAAACTGAGCTGCAAAAAATTAGGATCCCAATCCTAAACACCACTGACATTTCCTTTTCTATTTTCTAGACGTATGATCCATTCTTGTCACCAGCTAATCATTTCAGTGATTTTCTTGTTATGCTACCAGCTTTCGGTAGTGAATGCCTTAAGGTTTGAGTGTTCATGTCTTTGCTTATGAAAGATCTCAGAACTGTAAAACTGAGAGTGGAATTGTACTGTAAAGATCTGAAGTTACGATGAATTCTGAAAGCGAGGACTACGATGGAGGCTTTAATCTCCGCTGCTGGCCTGGATTGAGGCTGGGGTGAGGGGTAGGTTACGTAAAACCTCATGTGCCTTTTGCTATCTGAGGTCTTCCTTAGAGCGACTCTTTGTATGGAAACATTAGCAACTTACTGACTACAGGGTCACTGGCAAAGGCGGTCACTCCCTGAAGCCCTTTTTTACTACGATGTCACCTGAGCTTTCACCGGCCAACAGTCAATCGCTTGGTCTCATTAGCACCCTCTAGCTTGCAGTGAAATGCAGCAGAGGGCCGCGAAAGGAGACGGCTGGTAAGAGCGAATAGTGGGCCCACCCCTCCCTTCCTTGGAAAGTTTCATTTCTGCGTTTTTGACACTTTGACCTCAGTGAGGATTTAAAGTGAAATGAGCAAAGCAACAGAGACAGTGAGCTGTTGTTTTTTTTGGGGGGGAAATGTTTTTACTTTGTGCAAGTACATTAATCATGTAATTACCTCAGAATGCTTATTTTACTGTTTAATGTCATGCTATTGTAAAATATAATATTTTATTTAGTGTAAAGCTCAGTGGTTTTATAAAAGAATAACTAGAGAATGTTTATTGACTTTAATTAGCAGAAGCCTACTCCATGCCTTGTCTCTCTGCCTTTGTGGATTTGTTTGTCGGTCTTTGCCTTACAGTAGGTCAAACGCCACCACATACTACATGGCAATGTAAAACAAGCCATAAGGAAGGGATTCCCATCAGACCACAGCTCTGCTGAGCTCTGAGGAATCTCGGGTGAGGGCACACGCTGCTGCGCTCTTCAGAGGACGTGCCCTGCCCTAACCTATGAACCGCACTCTTTCTCCGCTACGTTGTCTTGTGTAAATGTTGCCGACCAGTCCTACTGCAGCTGTGCTTTCCAGAGTTAGCCTGCACATGCTAGCTAACGCTTAGCTGGGTGCTTTTCGCACGCGCTCCCCCAGCACCTGCCTAAAGGGCTTCGTTAGTTTATTACTTGAATCAGACCGGCTGGTGTTGGACCATGGAGGGAGTGCTTGGCACCTGGTTCTCCTTGTGGTGATGTTGGAGACATTGATTGAAGGACATTCTGTGTCTCGCTAAATGTCCCTCTAGCTGACGGCTTAGCTGTTGATTTTAAGGTTCACATCTTTTCCGTTTTTGGATCCATTCTGCTTCTCGTCGATAAAATGTTCAAAAGGGGTTGATGTAGACAGCATATTAACTCATGTAACCTTGGCAACTGTCCTGGTAACCTGAATCAACAAATCATTTTTTTACCGTTATCTTTATCTGTCTTGGAATGTCTGCCATCACCTGACTTTCACTTTTTATAAGAAAAAGCAATATGAAGTAATTTTAACTTTCCATAGGCAGCTTGAAGCATGGATAGTCGTCTGCATTGAGTGGAATAAAATGTCTGCTACATTAGCTGGTTCTGCATTACTGGTAGTTGGTATGTAGGCCTCACTTGACCTGGTTAAAAAGCTGCTTGCACTACTTTCCGGACTCTCAAACCACGTTTTATCATTGTGTATCAGAAGGAGACTTTTGTTGAGTGTGTGTGTGTGTGTGTGTGTGTTTTGTAACGAAGGGAATTGAGTCTAAGATTTAATAAAGAATTATAAAAACTTTCATGACTGTTTTGTTCACCCTAAATTGAACTGCACAGGATGGTTTTGACACACACCGATTTTGACAGTATTACCCTGAAATAACTCTCTAAAATCCTTAGGCACTGTTCATATAATACGCTACTGTAACCGCTATATCATTTAAAAATATGTCATGACCCTGCCTGCAGGATTGGGAAGCCTGTATTTAGGCTGTAAAAGGTGTTTTATCGCCGTACGTACAATAAACTGACATTGTAAGCTGAGGGGAGGGGCTGCCGCGGTGCATGCTGGGGGGAATGGCAGCTTCCGTATGTCGCTGTAACACACAAACACAGGAAATGGTGCCTGCCTGAGATCGGATTCGGCCAGCCGGGATCTCGGTGATCTGTCAAAGGAAGGAAGCGGGTCACAAAGAAAAGGCTTTATCGGAGGAAGGAAGCCGGAGGCGGGATGGAAAAGCAGCCGAGCGACGGGGCAGCGACCAGCAACCGAAAGCCGTACCGCCCCGCCGACGCCGCTGCTTCGGGCTCCAGGAGCGGCTCTGCGTCCAAACAGCCCAGCGCTGAGACGCTGGACAGGTGAGGGTGAGGGACCGGCCGACCTTGATCAGCGGTACTGTGTTAAAAGACGGCGAGAGCCGCCTGATCTTTATAAGCACATGTGTGCTTTACTGCACGGCGGCTCCTGCGCTGTCAGAACCGGCGCTCCACCGGTCTGGGGCCGGGGAGCCGGGATGTCCCCAAATGAGGGTTAAAACCGCGCGTGTGGCGAATCCTCCGCTGCTCGTTGGCTCAGGCCGACGCTAATCTGACGTTAGCCACTTTACGCGTTAATTTTTACACATCACGGTGGCTGGGTGGGCGGAAAATAAAAAAGGTGTGGCCGGTTTTTCCCATCTTTACGCCGGATTTGCGATCTCGCAAATATTCCCAGTAACCGTGCACTTCCGCTGCGGGGATCGCACTGCGTCGCTGCTCTTTGGGGATTATGAAGGGGTAGGGCTGACCCCCCCCCCCCCGATTTACGCTTCCTCCTCCTTCCCACCCCCAGCCCCACCGGCTCCCACGTGGAGTGGTGTAAACAGCTGATCGCGGCCACCATCTCCAGCCAGATCTCCGGAACTGTTCCTCCGGACCCCGTCTCCCGAGATTACAAGGTAAGGCTGCGTGTCGAGGGTCGGTGGTGGGGGCGGTGATCCGGCGTTCGGCCGCTTCTCCGCAGGGCTGTCTGTGACGCTGCTGGTTACGGCGTTTATACCGCCTGCACCCCGAGCCGCCTTCCACGAACAATACAGCATCGTTCTCCGAAAGGTTTAGAGGAATTACTACCTATTATCTGTTCCAGCATCATTATTGTTAAGTTCAGGCTGTGGTAAGCACTACCAGCACGTCAGGGTGTTTATAAATATGTGCTCTTTTTAAATTTTAATCATGCAAAGTACCTTTGACTGAATGAATTACCTGCCTTTGGCAAGTGAGCCTGGAGGTTGCTATAGGTGCTGAGGAGTGGTTCACTAGCTCAGGTCCCTGGGTCTGATGGACTGTAGCTGAGCTTATGTCACCCTACCCTCGGAGGAAAGGTGCATGCAGGTTTGGCTCTCTGATTATTCACTCGGGTGGTGCTTATGCTGTTTTTGGAATATGGCACCATACTCTGACACCCCCAGAGCTGTGCCTCCTCAATTGAACAGGGGGGACAGGCTTCCTGTCCAGGGCTTCACCTGTCCTCTTCCCAGGGTTGGGCTCAAGCTTGCCATGATTGTGCTGGATATGCGCTTATGGAAGAGGAATGTAAACCTTCTGATCACTCTGGCCTGGTGTGATCCTAATCACGTGTGAGCCTTTCTAAGAGTGCGGGGCTTCTGGGTAATGAAGTTTGGTTTCTGGCCTTGTTGAGCTAACCCAGGGTTCAAGCTCGCTGTCCCTGATTAATTGCTCTGCTGTTTCTGACTGGCAGGTGGGATGGAGGAAAGACTTGAGGGTAAGAACACAAATGGGGGTCTTGGGCTACCTTGTTCATGCTCTGCCAGCCTTCCCGTGCTTCTTAATGGCTCCTGACTGCTGGGGGGGGGGTCTTTTCCTGTGCCTGGGGCTTCGGCAGTGTGGTGACCCCCCCCTCCCCCAAACATAGCTCGCTTTGATCCCAGCACCCTGCCTTTTCCCTCTGGACACGGTGCCCACTTGTACTGAGTTCCCCGCCGACTGTTAAATCGCAGTTTGATTTGTCAGAGCAGCGTGACACTGTGGCTGCAGTGTGATGCTTGTCACGGTTGTGACACGTGTGGGACAGTGTGGCAGGTCAGACGTGGTGCTCTGAAGCAGCGGGGTAACTCGCTTCTGGCTTTGGATTGAAGTCGTGTCTCCATTCGATCCTGTTTGCTACATTGACACTCTCTGTCATGGACCCTTAGGGTACTTTTATCCTTCCAGTCAGTTCAGTCTGTTTTCTGATTTTACTGTGGTTTTTTTTTTCTTTTCAGTTTTATGTTTTATTTCATGATCGATAAAATCGCAGGGCTGGGACCTGGTATCACCGTTAGCAAACTTAGCATATTACATTCCTCTTAGCTAAACTGATTGTCGCAGCTTCGTTAGGACTTTGCTTCTCTATCAGGATCCCATTGCAGCTTGAGCTTGGGGGGGGGCGTGTGTATGGTAACAGCATGTTTATCTGCTTTGTGTTTGTCACCTGCAGGTTTCCAGGAGGCCAGATCTCGGGGTAAGAAGGCAGGGGTTTGTGTGTGTGTCTGTGTGTGTGTCTCTGTCTGATCTGAGATTACTCTCACACTGAAGGGCTGGGTGCAGACCTGGCACATAGAGGGTACTCAAAAGTACTTTCTGCCCCTTCTGGCTGTGAGGTGCAATGATCAGCTTAAATCCCCAGACTTTGCCTAATCACTGTGAAATCTCTGTTTACCACTGTCCCCTATTTGTGAGGTCATGCTTGTATGTGTCGAATTTTCCTTAGTCATGCCTCTCTGCATGTTTTTATGCTTAAGAAACGTTTTAAAGGTTATTTTGGTTAGTTTTTCTTCACATTTTTAGTAGCAGAGATAAAACAGGAAATTTCCTGTGATACAGTTGCGTGTAAGATATGCTGTGTGGTGCGTTAAGGCGATAATTACTCTAGATGAGATGTATGGCAGTTTTCTGAATGGGCAGGGGGTGGCGCTGTTCTGCTTTTGGTTATGGCTATGTGCGGGTCGGGTCGAGCTCTGCCCGCTTCCCTGCCCTGAACCTTTCCAGCCCCCTAACAGACATTGCGGGTGGCTTTGAGTTGTCAATGTTTGTTCTGTGCCTTTATGGAAACAGGCGTTTTTCTGTATTCTTGTAGGTGGGGGCTTTGAGTTGTCAATGTTTTTCTGTATTCTTGTAGGTGGGGGCTATTTGTTCTGTACTTTTGTTTTGCGCTGTCGATGATGGCATCATCTTTGTGGTTACATGTCTGTTTCTGTGCCGTTTTTTCTTGATGGTCGTGGGCGGTGGGGTTCTAAACGTGGTGTTGCGGCGAGTCCTGCATTCAGGAGAGGGAGCCGCTCGCACACCATCTGCACAGTGGTCACAGATGTTAGTCTGCTTCTCTCTCCTTCACTGTAACGTGCACCGTTCAGCAGCCTGCCCTGCTTTTCACATCTGACTGTAATGACTTCACCTCCGTAACAAAGATGGCGGCATTCTGCCTGGCCCCGTCTCCTCTTCCTCGCTGCCGTGTGGCAGGGCCAGGCTGCCTGTGATGTGGGGGGCCTTAGTGCTTAAAGCCCCCTCCTGATCCTCCTGTCCTTTCACCGGCTGCTTGCTTGTCTGTCTGTCTCTCTCTCTCTTTTTCTCTCTTTCCCTGCTTGCTTGCACTGTGGGCCCAGGACTCGGACAGTACAAATGGCCTCCCCTCAGACAGCGAGGTGGACAGCTGCCCCTGCTCCCCGGCAAGTGTCTCAGCCAGCCTCAGTGTCTGTGTGTGTCTGTGTGACTGTCTGTGTGTGTCTGTGTTACTGTGTGTGTCTGTGCTTGTGTCTGTGTGTGTCTTTGTGCATGTGTGTGTCTGTATGTGTTACTGTGTGTGTGTCTGTGTCTGTGTATCTGTGTGTGTCTGTGTATCCATGTGTGTGTGTTTGTGCGTCTGTGTGTGTCTGTGCGTCTGTGTGTGTGTCTTTGTGCATGTGTGTGTCTGTGTGTGTTTGTGTGTCTGTGTGTGTGTGTTTGTGTATCCGTGTGTGTGTGTGTTTGTGTGTCTGTGTGTGTGTGTCTGTGTATCCATGTGTGTGTGTGTGTTTGTGTGTCTGTGTGTGTGCGTCTGTGTGTGTGTGACTGTCTGTGTGTGTCTGTGTTACTGTGTGTGTGTCTGTGCGTCTGTGTGTGTGTGTGTCTTTGTGCATGTGTGTTACTGTGTGTGTGTGTGTGTGTGTGTGTGTGTGTGTGTGTGTGTCTGGCTGTGTGTGTTGCAGCCTCCTGCAGGGTGACTCTAACTGCCTGTGCCTGGGCCCCCTAGCCACTGTTTAACCCAAAATGCAGCCTCTCTGCCTGCTGTGGCTTTTATGGATAAAGATTTAGCATGTTTTTTATCATTATGATACTTTCAAAGTATCAGTGATTGTGGAGTATTATTTGCCAGTCCTACATCTCTTGTGCTTAATATTTGCCTGCTACAGGTTTTTTGCTCTTTCCCCTTTAAAAAAAGCAGTGATTATAAGCATTTTCCTAACTGTGTCTTCAGTGTGACTTCTCCAGAGCTGCAGACCTCCCAGCCCAGCAGGGCAGCAGCTGCTGGCTTGGGGGTGGATGGAGTGGCTAATGGCCTGTGTACTGAACCTTGAACCGTGTCCCAGCGTGTTCAGCACTGCATTACTTAACATTACATTTGCAGCACTTTACAATACTTTGCTGTGCAGCTTTGTTAAATAAATGCAGGTGACCAATGCACCAGTGACTGTTTTTCTGTCTTCATAGCGGCTGGTCTGAACCCAAACCACCAGAGGGGGGTGTTGTTTCACTTAGCTGCCTAACATTCAGGCAGAGTACTAGAGCCTGTTTGGCGACCAGCCCGCAGTAGGACTCCTTAAGCCTACAGTGAACCACCGATGGTCTGGCTTTAAAGTGCTCTCTGATTTCACAGATTTTTTTTTCCAATAACATAAAGATGGAAAGATGAGGGTGGAAAAAAAAGAAACAGACATAAAACTGATACACTGAAAAATTTCTGAGAGATGTTTGTGTGTGTTTGAGGACCATGCCGGTGTGCTGTGTGTGTGCAGTGTGTATGCGTGTGAGGACCGTGCCGTTGGGCAGTGTGTGTGCGTGTGAGAACCGTACCGGTGTGCAGTGAGCGTGTGCAGTATGCGTGTGCAGTGTATCTGTGCAGTGTGTATGCGTGTGAGGACTGTGCCGTTGGGCAGTGTGTGTGCGTGTGAGGACCGTGCCGGTGTGCAGTGTGTGCACAGTGTGTGTGTGCGCAGTGTATATGCGTGTGAGGACCGTGCCGGTGTGCAGTGTGTGTGTGCCATGTGTGTGCGTGGACTGTGACGGTGCGCAGTGAGCGTGTGCAGCGTGTGTGCGCAGTGTGCTGTGAGCTCGGTGCTTTGTCTTGGGCTGTGCTGGATCAGCAGGGACACTCTTCTGGCCCGTTGAATAAAGCCCCCTACATGCATCACCGTGTCCCTCGGGGGGGGAGGGCGTCAGGCTTGTGGTCTCTTCTTTTTCTTTACACACCCAAATTTAGCAGAACACAGGAGCTACCCAGGGAGGTCCTGACATCATTTCCAGGCTCATAACCAATAATTAATATAGTTTAATGAACTATCAGTCTGGTTTAACCAAAACTGCACTTCAGAGTGAAGTTGTAGTTAAATATCAGGTTTTTGTAAATCGCCGTGTTTGTGTTAATCTTACTGTTATATATACGCTGAACCTGTACCCATTGGTATGCGTTGTAGCTGTATGTTTTAACCAGAAAGTTCCAGGCCTGCAAAAATGTGGCTGAGAGTCCCAGGCTCCCATTAAGCTGAGCCCTGGCAGTGGTGTCCCCGATTCTGCTAAAATGTCTGAGGTCGTGACAGCGGCTGGGCCATCCTATCTCATGCTGACTGTCTGGCCCGCCCTTGAGGCTGAGCCCTGACTGTGATTGGCCGAGGTCCTTTGACAGGCGCTGAGGGTCAGCGACTGGGTCTTCCTGCTGTATGTCACGCTGACTGTCTGGCCCGCCCTCGAGGCTGAGCTCTGACTGTGATTGGCCGAGGTCCTTTGGCAGGCGCTGAGGGTCAGCGGCTGGGTCTTCCTGCTGTATGTCACGCTGACTGTCTGGCCCGCCCTTGAGGCTGAGCTCTGACTGTGATTGGCCGAGGTCTTTTGACAGGCGCTGAGGGTCAGCGGCTGGGTCTTCCTGCTGTATGTCACGCTGACTGTCTGGCCCGCCCTTGAGGCTGAGCTCTGACTGTGATTGGCCGGGCTCCTTTGACAGGCGCTGAGGGACAGCGGCAGACAGGACCAGATGGAGGAGGCCCCACGGGTCCCCGGGGAGACAATCAAAGCTATAGGTGAGCCCCCTACTTTGGTAATATCTGGGGGTGAAGCGCCAGACCTGGACACTTAATTAACTTTCTTTGACACTTTATTATTTTAATGTTTTATTGCAACCCCCCCCCCCCCCCCCCCCCAACAGGGCTGAGGCCTGTGCTTCACATCTGAGCCTCTGAGTTTGTTTTTGCGCTGCCTTTCCAGCTAAAAATGTGATGTACATCTGTCCCTTCACCGGCGCAGTGAGCGGGACACTCACAGTCACCGACTACAAGCTGTACTTCAAGAGCCTGGAGCGAGTAAGCCGTCCCCCCCGTCCCCCCAGTCCCCCAGCTGAGCACACGAGGTTCCTCTGGGCCGCGTTCGCTCGCGTCACATCGCTGCTGCGCCTGAGCGCCCCGTGAACGTCTGTATACACACTAGATCAGATCAAAACTAATTTATCAAACGCTTCCTGTCACAGCAAACGGCAGTAGGCGACGAAATGAGTTTCCCTGGGAGCTGCCTGTAGTAAAGTAATGAGTTAATGAATGAATGAATAAAAGTAAAACAAATAAAGAGATAAAAAATAGGAATGTGCACTAATACTCTAACCAGCTGATGAATAGCCTCACTAACCCTAATCACTAACCCTAACCCTCACTAACCCTAACCCTCACTAACCCTAACCCTCACTAACACTAACCCTCACTAACACTAACCCTCTCCACTTATGGCGGGAAGTTTCTGCAGAGCCTTTTTTTTCTGTGATACCGTTTCCCTGATGACAGGAGTGAAAACCGTCTGTGTCTGCAGTCCCTGAAGATAGATCTGGCTTTCTTAAGGCATCTGCTTGTGCATGTGTCCTGGATGTCAGCCAGATGGCATCCAGTGACAGTCTGTGCTGACTTTACATAGTATCTGTGTGTTTTTATCAGTTCGCCTTGGATAGACTTTACTCTGTTCTCTCCTGGCTTTCAGGAGCCCCCTTTCGTTTTGGACATCAATTTAGGAGCCATCAGCCGCCTGGATACAATCGGGATGCAGATCGGGGACAATGACATGGGGATGGAGATCGTCTGCAAGGTTAGCCGCGCAATGCTAACGGGCACGTCCGCTCCGGCCAGGCCAAGCTCCGCCCACTAAACCGGATCTCCCTCCCCCACAGGACATGAGGAGCCCCCGGTTCGCCTTCAAGAGGGAGGAACACCCCAAGATGGAGATCTTCGAGACGCTGACCAAGCACGCCTTCCCGCTCTCCAATGACCTGGTCAGTCCCATAGGCAGGTAGAACCGTGCCTCTTGAGGTCACGGGTTCGACTCTACGGGTAGCACCTGTTCTCACGTGGAGAGTGAACTCATACGAGATGCAGGTCACTGTCGTAAATCAAGAGTGGAAGAGCCTTAGTTTAATGACAGATGCTGATTGCTGCAAAGACACAGTGTGAGCTGTCAGCTTAGGGCACCATCCCCGATTCTCCCCCAGCTGCTGTTTGCCTTCCTGTACAAAGAGAAGTTCCCTGTGGACGGCTGGAAGGTGTATGACCCTGTCGCAGAGTGGGGGGGTGTGCTTCCGGGGGTACCCCCTGTGATTGCCTTTTCCATGGCCGAATGCTTTGTGATGCTTTCATCTCGTGAGTGAGTTCTTGAGGAATTGAGAGGACTTCTGCCTGGTCCAGGTCCTGGTTACCAATCCCTGTGTGTGATAACGTTCCGTATCGTGCCCCCGCCTCCAGGGCCTCCCCAATGAGAGCTGGACCATTAGCAGGATCAACAGCAGCTACGAGGTGTGTGATACCTACCCCTCGCTGCTGGTGGTGCCCACGAGCATCAAGGATGACGAGCTGAAGAGGGTGGCAGCCTTCAGGGCCAAACACCGCATTCCGGTGGGTCCCGGGTGCATGTTTCATGCGCGCACACGCACACACACTCATGTGCGCGCACAGGCAAGGTAATCTCAGCTTTTTTAAGCACGCTTCCCCGGCCTGCCCTGCAGGTCCTCTCTTGGATCCACCCCGAGAGCCAGGCTACCATCGTGCGCTGCGGCCAGCCGCTGGTGGGGCCTTCGGACCGGCGCTGCAAGGAGGACGAGCGCTTCCTGCAGACCATCCTGGATGCCAACGCCCAGTCCCACAAGCTCAGCATTTTTGACGCACGGCAGGGCAGCGTGGCCGACACCAATAAGGTCTGTGTGTGTTTGTGTGTGTGTCAGTGTCTGTATGCATAACCCTCATCCCAACACTGACAAGCCTAACCCCAAACCAGCCATAACCTTAACCATAAGTAACCAAACAAAATATAATATTTTGGCATTATTAGTTTTTTGATTACAGGGTCACAGGGTTTTACAACCTTGAGGTTATGCTTGTGGGGACCAGAAAAATGTAACCGGTTATAATCATACACACACAAACAGAAAAATGACAGCTTTGTCACATCCTCCTAATCAGCCACCCTCCCCTCCACAGGCCAAGGATGGGGGCTACGAAAGCGAGAGCTTCTACCCCAACGTGGAACTGAACTTTCTGGAAATCCCGAACATCCACGTGATGCGCGAGTCTCTGCGTAAGGTGAAGGAGGCGGTGTACCCCTCCATCGACGAGGCGCACTGGCTCTCTGCCATAGACTCCACTCACTGGCTGGAGTACATTCGGGTGAGACCCCCCTGCCCTGCCACATCCTGACAGACACCCCTGTCCCTCTGGAGGTGCCCTATCCCCCCCGCCCCATCCTGACAGACACCCCCGTCCCTCTGGAGGTGCCCTATCCCTCTGGAGGTGCCCTATCCCTCTGGAGGTGCCCTATCCGCCCCGTGTGCCTCCTGACCTCAGGACTCTGACCCCCCCCACCTGCCACACAGCTTTACTCAGTGTTTCATTTCCTTACATCTTATCAAGGCAGCTTTTGTGTGGATTTGTGAAGTAGTACTCATGGTGAATGGAGGAGATGGATGGGGGAGGGGGGCCGTCTGAATGCTAGCAGGAACATATCAGTGCTATAAAATTAGAAAAGTAAGATGAGAAATGCATGGGCCTGGATTCTGTTCATGACAGAAAAGTACCGGCCGTTTCGCCAGACAGATGGCAAAAGAAATGCTGGCTCACTTCAGAATCCACATCCACTCTGTTTGCGGTGACATTCCCCTTTAGCCTATGAGTACTAATGAGTATTAGCGAGTAATGCTGAGTAATAGTGAGTATTATCATTGACGTTCACGTGTGTGCACTGAAGTACCAGTGAGCGTGGATGTATAGTGTTTTAGCCTCGGCTCGCCCCGCCCCCCCAGCTGCTCCTGGCCGGCGCCGTGCGCATCGCAGACAAGCTGGAATCAGGCAAGACATCAGTGGTGGTGCACTGCAGTGACGGCTGGGACCGCACTGCGCAGCTGAGCTCGCTGGCCATGCTCATGCTGGACGGCTACTACCGCACGCTGAGGGGCTTCCAGGTGCTGCTGGAGAAGGAGTGGCTCAGCTTCGGCCATCGTTTCGCCGCGGTGAGTCTGGGGCCCTGGGGGTGACGCACCTCGTCTTGTAAGCGCGTCGTGGTTCCGAGACTCTGCTCTTGTACATGTGCAAGAGAATGTTCAACTGTTACAGTCCCTAATCCAGTACAGTATATGGGCTGTATTTACTGTGGATAAAGTGGTCAACTAAGCAGCTTAGTGGAGGGCAGTGTGGGTAAGTGGGATAGTCTGCTGTGTCTGTGATCAGAAGGTCGCCAGTTCAAATCCCAGGGCTGGCAGAGTGATGTCACTCTTGGGCCCCTGAGTGAGGCCCTTAACGCCATTTGCTCCAGGGGCAGACTGACCCTGCTCTCTCAATCGTATATTGTGTTGGATAATTCCTCTGTTAAGGAATGTAAGTGTAACACACGCACTATATCGATGTCTGTCTGTGTCTGCGCCTGCCGGTCACCAGCGCGTGGGACACGGGGACGAGAACCACGCCAACTCGGAGCGCTCTCCTCTCTTCGTGCAGTTTGTGGACTGCGTGTGGCAAATGCTGAGGCAGGTGAGGCAACCCAGCTTTCCGGAGGCCCCGGGGGGTTCAGCCTTTAATACTGCAGCCACCTCCCAGCCGCCTATATTGATCATCATCGATCTGCCCCTCCCCCAGTTTCCCTCAGCTTTCGAGTTCAATGAGCTGTTCCTTATCACCATCCTGGACCATCTCTACAGCTGCCTCTTCGGTACCTTCCTCTACAACAGTGAGCAGGAGAGAGTCAGCAAGGTTTGTCGCCTCATTCCAGTGTGGACCCGTCCTGCTGTTGTCTTTGTACACAAGCATCCATCCATCCTTCCATGCATCCATCCATCCTTCCATGCATCCATCCTTCCATACATCCTCCATTCATCCATCCTTTTATCTCAATCATTCATCATCCATCCTTCTATCTTGCATCCTTCATCCATGCTTCCATCCATCCATCCTTCCATGCATCCTCCATTCGTCCATCCTTCTATCTTCCATCCTTCATCCATCTTTCCATAGGTGGCCTACATTCTCTTGCCAGCAGAGTGTCTGCAGACTAGCTGCAGGATGCTGATCTGTCACAGGGTACATACACACAGTCCCACAGTGGGGGGCGTTTAGCAATGCATGTCTCTGGAGTGCGGGAGGGAAGCGGAGTACCTGTAAGAAACCCATGTGATACAGGGAGAACATGCAAGCTGTTCATTAGGAAGCTAGAGGTGGGATTTGAACCCATAACCACAGAAGTGAGAACGGAGGGCAACGCACCGTACTGGCCTTGATGCATAACCATTTACAGGGACAGGAATGTCATTTCTGGGACCCCACTCGAAAAGTCCCCTAGTATACTTACTGACTTTTTGTGACCAACAGGGGGCCCCAAACTTTGGGGTCATAATATATTATACAAAATACTTTATTTCTTCTTATGCTATCCTGATTTTGTATCTCTTCTTCAGACCAGATCGCAATTAAAGCTTGTGTTACTTCATTTGTCCACGCATCCATTAATACTGTATTTTTTTTTTTTACATCTGTGATGTCATAGGGCAACTGGAAAATGCCAAATACTAATGAGCTGAAATGAGCCATATGAGCACTTACTGTAGCGCAGTCGGACACACTAAGCTCAATAAATCGATTCCCCGCCTGTGCATGAACACTGGGACAAGGGCTGTAATCCGATTAAATGGACAAGGGCTGTAGTCTGATTAAATGGCGTAGTCCAGCTAAGATGTGCATTTAAACGAAGTGACTGACGGCATCATTCTTCTCCCTGTGTCCAGGCAGTGCCCAGTAAGACGGTGTCCCTCTGGTCATACATCAACAGCCAGGCGGAGGACTTCACCAACCCCTTCTACGTCAACTACGAGAACCACGTGCTGTATCCGGTGGCCAGTCTGCGCCACCTGGAGTTCTGGGTCAGCTATTATGTGCGGTGGAACCCTCGCATGAGGCCCCAGGTGAGACTGGCAGGCTGTCCCTAAACCCCCCCCCCCCCCCCGGGCTTAGGAAACATCTCACTCAGCTCTAGGCTCAGCTACTATGTGCGCTAGAGCCCCCGCATGAGGCACTAGACCTACACCTGACTGTCTATGCATTAATGAGCCCATTGAGACCGCTTTGACCTGTTCCGTAATCCCCAGCCGGCCTCCCCTCAGAGTTACTACATTAATGAGTGTTAATGGCTTCCTTTGACTTCTGAGATACTGAGGTCCAGTGGATTATTATGACCAGTGAGGGCCACACAACCAATAGATTTTGTTCTCTTCTCTAAGTCAGCTCATTATAAAAAGTGTGTGACAACGATTAACCATTGAGAAAATAATTAGCCGTCACCGAGTTTCCACCGATATGGCAGAAAATCAGGGTATGCAGTCCTCCAGAGCATGGAGAAAATTGCATCCAGCTATCTGGCCAAACACTGGAAGTGGGAGATTCTGGCATAGCCTGCTGCTACTAATTCATAAGGGTCACGTGACATGACACTGGCCAGTCTGATGAAGAGGATCACATGACGTGACACCAGCCGGTCTGATGAAGTGTCACATGACTGGGCACCAACCAATCTGACGGAGGGTCACATGACGCGACGCCAGCCAGTCTGATGCGCTCAAGTGTCTCCCCAGATGCCAGTGCACCAGAACCTGAAGGAGCTTCTGATCCTAAGGACAGAGCTGCAGAGGAAGGTGGAGGAGCTTCAGCGGGACGTCTCTTCATTGCGCTCCATCACCTCAACCCCTGACCACGGCCCCTCGCCGTCCCATACCAGCACGCCTTTGTACACCACTGTATGATCATCCCTCTATGTCTGTTAGCCGTGTTTAATAATTCGCAGAGAAATCCACTATAATATACTCGACTCCTTCTTGTAAATATCAACAAACTAATTCTGCGTTGGTATATATTTTGTTCTAATCATGTGTACTATAGAATTTACAAGGCATGATTTTGCAGAAGTCAGTTGTACCAGACTAAAAGTATTAACTGCTCATTCCGTGATGGAATGATAGCTGATGTTTATTTCCTGAGTACTGCAGGTGTCTGTCTGCCTAACCCAGTGGCCCATTTTCCTTGGGTAACACAAATCAGGCACTTGTTCTCCTTTCTGGGATCCTTTGTCTTAACTGTGGTACTTCAGAAAGAAACCAGCTTTTAATCTGGATAACCTTTTAAAATACATTAAAATCCCTACAGCTGATGTATATTTTAAACCTGTTTTGGCGTTTTAATCTGAGCTATTGTTTTTGCTGGGGATTGTTATTCGGGCAGGTTATTGTACTGAATCCCGGGTCCCGGCCTGGACACAGCGTGTGCAGGACCTCATTCCACCCATAATCCTTAGAGCAGGGTTCTTCTACTCTGGACCTCGATTCCAAATCCTGGCCGCGTTTTCAGTTCTCCCAGGTAGTTGTTTAATAATTACTGATTCTGATTGGTCAGAGGCTTCACACCTGACTGACAGGTAAAGGAAGGCTGGAAAACCAGCAGTGCTCGGACCTCGAGGACCGTGAGTTGAATAACCCTGCCTTAGAGCATGTGACCAGTCTCATGCTAATGAGAGGAGTTTAGCCTTTGCAGTTTTTATAGCCTTTCAGTGATTCAGACACCTGGAAACTTGCAGTCTCGGTGTGTGGGATGTGGGGAAACGGGCTGGAGACACGGGCAGGGACAGCCTGACCGTGTGGAAACACCACAGGGGCATTTTCTATTTTAAAAAATCAGGTTCAGGAAAGAGGGCAGAAACTTTATTTTTCCAAACAGCAGTTCAAATAATTTTAGGAAAAAAAACAAAACTTTTCCTCATTCTACAAATTCATTGTGGGGAAAGAAGAAGCGAACACGTCAGGCATTACACCAGAGGCTCTCTGTCACACTGTCACAGGAATTCAAATTCAGATGTGGCTTCCAAAATAGAGGAAAAATTATCCTTCATCTAAAACATACATTCAAAGGTAACCCCCCAAAAGTTCATTTTTGAAAAGTATATCCAGTCTTCTACCAGTTGTTACAAAAGCATCCAAAGTCTGTCTCATGTGCTACAGCAAACAGTATTAAAAAACACAACAACAAAGATTGACGATACACAGCATGCAGCCCCTAAATGGGGCTGTGCAGCTGGGACTTCTATCCACCGTCTTCATCCAGGGCTGTGTGTCTGGCCGACTACCAGTTAGGTGACTGTAGTAGCAACTGCTGAACTGAAGGGGGCGACAACAAAGCTAGAACCCGTACAGACATCCAACAGTCATGAACACCCCACATGATTATCACTGCAAACAAAGTCAAGTAGTTCACAAAAGTTGTATTCATGCATTTCAGTACAGTCCTGCTACAATACGCATTACCACAAATCTGTTCTAATGTGTTTGATATATTAGTGCCCAAATCCAATGCAACATGGAATCGGATTTGTATTTGCAAGATTTTCAATTGGAGAGAAAAGCGTTATGCAAACTACAACACGATATAGTATTAGCGAGAAATGCTACTTCCACGCAAAAACGGCTGTCCACATAACATAATCCGTCCTCTTTGTGCTGAGTGCATGCCTAGCTGCATGGTGGCTGTGGCTCACTCCTCTGACTAATGATGGGTAAAATGACGCTTCATGAACCATTTGCTGTTTTTTCTGTGCCCACTAGATGGTGCTCTCTGTTCAAAAAAGGACTCAAAGCATGCCCCAACAAACCACAAGTACCATCTAGTGCAGTCAGAAATGTATATGTGTATTTTAAGACAACACAAGATAGGACTATTGATCCCACGTCGGGGAAATTTACTTGTTATAACAGTCTAAAATAGAATAGCTAGTATGCAATTTTAGTGAACGCAAGGTTTTTCAGGAAGGCAAGGGCTGCGTTGTAACAGGACTAACTATATTTTTAAAATGAGTGTGCCCAGCCCAGCCCCACCGCCATAAGGCGCTTACCAAGCTGCTCCTGTCAGACCACATCCTCAGGATTCTCTCCCTTCACGTACGCAGCGTTCAGGCTCTCTGTCACACACAGGATGGGGTGGGGGCTCCATGAGGAGGTGCAGGAAATAGCAGGGAGATGCCAGTTCAGCCCCCAGAAACCCTCAGAAGTCACACCAGCTCCTTGTTACTAAAATTTCAAACTAAAAAACCACCTAAATTTTCCGGTTCAGTTTACATGGGCAGTGGTGGCTTGATGGTTAAGGAAGCGCACTTGTAATTGAAAGATTGCAGGTTCGAATCCCCGACCAGCAAGACACCACTGAGGTACCCTGAGCAAGGTTCCGCCCCCAAGCACTGCTCCCCGGGCACTGAATTAGCTGCCCCCTGCTATGTCACATATGGGTTAAATGCAGAGGACACATTTCGTTGTTGCGCACTGTGTGCTGTGGTGTGTTGACAATGACCACTGATCACCAAATTCTAAATTTTACACACACATACTACAGCCCCAATCACACTACAGCATCTCCAGCCTTGATCTCTGTCCTTGTCTGAAGGACTCTCACCCTGCACGCTGAAGCACAACCTCTTCTTCTGGTAGGAGATGTAGCTGCCAGCCGCACCTAGCAGAGTCATAGCCAAAGCGCTAACAATGCCCGCGATGGTGCCACTCTCCATGGTGGTGTCTGTGTAAGGGGTCAAGAAAACCGCTGTGACCTCCGTACGATACACACACTTGACTGGACTGATCTTGAGCTTGACAGTAACTCAGAAACGCTGTACAGTTCTATGTAAACACACGTGTTAGCAGGTTGCCAATTCACTTATCACGGCGTACCAGAAGTGGCGCCGTCGGCTGAGTCTACGGTAGAGGATCTCCCTTCCCCTGGGAAAGGAAGGATAGTGACATTTAACAATTCAGCAGTTTGACCAGCTAGCCTACCATTGTCCATTATAGTCGCCTCAGTGATATGCAAGACAAGCTGGTGAGAAGACTAACATCTGAAGGCCTCTGTGATGCCATTAAAGGTGTAGCCAGCACTAGGGTGAATCCTAGCCGTCTTGGCATTTAAACTGAACCGCACACGTGAAAAATCTAGCTGTGGAAGGAGGAGCCATAGTGACCTCTGCCTTTGTCAGGAGCGTAGCCTCCACCATTTGTGATGCTGCTCAGGTCATCGTCTGTGAACTGGCCACCTGTTGGGGGAGGGGGGATTAAGGTGGAGAGCAAAGCGCAGTGAGAACAAAGGTAACCGTGTGCTTTCTGTGCCCCGGTAAAGCACAGAGATGGGCTCCCAGCACGAGTAACAGGTCACGGGAATCCCGCAGAAAATGTGCTTCAGTGAACACTTCAGCAGATCAGCATTACCTCACAAAAGCCCCAGCAAGACTAAGCCCAGTAAGATCCAAGTAAGATACATGTAAAAATATGAAATGTTTAAAAACCGTGAAACCAGCAGGAAAGTGCTGGATTCGGCCAGGCAGCATGTCTCTTAAGAGTGACAGAATAGGGCAGATGGAAAGAGAAATGTGTCGTCTCCCAGGGAGGTGATGCTACCATTAACTCCTGCTCAGGTTTCAGCTCTCACTCAGCAAAGAGACAGAAAGTGGGTCCTGTTTGCAGCTGGGCCACAGAGCCTGTGTGCCTTCAGCAGTGGTGCATGAGGGACACCTTTTTAAGAACTGTCCCAATATTCCACTGGAGGAAATAACAAAGCTTCCACTTCAGCAGAAGTTCCACTCTGATACTGGGCAGACCCCCTTGCTCTCAGATGAGCTGGAATTATTTATGGCATGGACTGAACAAAATGCCGGAAGCATTCACTAGACATTTCTGTCATTTCTGCCCACAAACCTGCTGCTCACTGGATGTTTTTCCACACCTTTCTGTGTAAACTCTCAGAGATGGCAGTGCGTGAAAATCCCAGAGCAGAAATTTCTGAAATACTCCGCCCCCTTGAGGCATCAACAAGCATGCCACTGTCAAAGTCACCATGATCATATTTTCCCCCCATTCTGATGACTAAATGAAGCTCTTGACCCGTGTCTCCACAGTTCCTGCTACGATTGGCTGATTAGATATTTTCATGAACAAAGTGCACAGGCGTTCCTAACAATAACAAAGTGGCCGGTGAGTTAGTCACCAGCAGGTGATGGAGAAACCAAATCAAGCATACAGGCAGCACAGCAAAGCCCCAGTGATTATGAGACTCCTCACTGGTAGGCAGCCTACACCCAGTCCCCAGGACACTGACCTCTCTCACTCTTGCCTTTCTCCACAATGTCATTTTTTGGGTCCAAAGCATCAGACAGGTCAAAGTCATCCGCAGCTGTAGAGAAGCAGGGAGATCAGAAAGGACAGATGACACGGCAAGTGAACATGACTGAGGAAGACGCAGGGATGAAGATCAGGAGGACATGCCATGCAGAGCTCTGCATCAAACATCCCAGCTACTAGTGACACTGGATGCATTAAGCATGGACACCTGCTGGCCAGATAGTTGAGAATGTGGCCGCTTATGTACAGGTTTCTGAGGTTCGGCTATTGGAGTACCTTAGACCTATCACCTGGGAAAATTACTCTGATGAAACATCCAACCACTTTACTCATACCACACATTACTCTGGAGAGCATGGACAGGCGCCATGGTGTCTCAGTGGATAGCAAGACTAACTTGCAGCGGCCATTTCTGCCTTGCTCTGGTCACACAAATACTCAGATGATGTCCCGTTACAGCCCTACCCGGGAAACAAGAATCATCCTGTACAAACTTGCACTACATCCTTCCTCTTCCCCCCCCCATCTCCACTCACAAGGTCAACAGCAGCAAGTTTGTATGTAATTCAGCAAAACATTCTAGTTGTAATCTGTATGTTTCCTGGGACTAAACTCAGCCATTATCTCTTTTAAAACAAGGATCCAGTGTATAAAAGTACATGAATAAGAGTGCAGCAGCACAGTAGGTGCATTTGATTTAATTCTCTGCCTTTAGTTTTTATTTATCAGTGATCAGAAAAACAGAATTTCAGTGGCTCAGTTTGGCACCCATGCTTCAGGTCCTCTGGTTTCTGCCCACAGTCCATCTATGTGTAGTTGGGTAAAATTGGGGTGTCGAAAATCCCTCTAGTGCCTGGCTGTGTGAGTGTAGGCTGTGCAATGGACTGGCATCCTGTCCAGGGTGCCCTATGCTTAGGCTGTGCAATGGACTGGCATCCTGTCCAGGGTGCCCTATGCTTAGGCTGTGCAATGGACTGGCATCCTGTCCAGGGTGCCCTATGCTCATGCTGTTTTGTCTGCAGCACAATGCTCCTTTAAGAACACAATGTCCTTTGAATCTCCACACAGTAGATCTGGTTAGTCAAGGCTGTCATGGCTATATGGCTCAAATTCATGAAGGCCACCATATTGGTTTTCTGGTAGTTTAAGGCCCTTTATGATCAAGCACCAACTACACATGCAATGACAAAGGTCAAAGGTCAAAAGTCATGGTAAGACAACACTAATGGCAGGTAAGAAGTGAAGCCCACGCATTCTTCATGCTCTGAGTTATTACCTGGCTTAGGTTTGGGTCTGACTGGTGCTTTGGTGATGGTCTTCATGCCATCTGCAATGTCCAACATTGATATCAAAACTCGTAAGTTATGACAACATCCACTTTAGCACGTGCAATTTAAATGGCTCACAAACATCAAAATATTCCCTCAATGTCATTTTCTGCCAGGAGGTCATAGAAGAACCTGCAATAGTTATTTTGCTGGTAAAGCGTGACTATAAAATAACAGTCTCGGTAACACTTAAAGCACTCATGTAACATGCATTATACAAGCCTTCATAATGGGTTATGATGCATTCTTGATGTATTATAAACACGGCTGTAACTATTTATAAAAAGGCATAACACATTATAGCCACGTCTATTATGCATTATGAATGCCCTATGAAGCTCTCATCTATAATGCACTACAAATACCTTCATAATGCATTATAATGGCTTATACTGACAATTGAGACTCCAGGAAAGAGAGAGGTGCCTGAAATGAACCAGACACAAACCTTCAGATCTCCCTCCTCCTGCTCCTCCTGTTCCTCCTCTAGTCGGTCCTGGATTAGGCTTCATTGTTGCTATATAAAAACAGAAGACATGATGTCTTTATTTATAATATTAACCCTCATCTTCTGTGAATGGAAAGCTGAAACAGTGATGGTGGAAAAAAAGAATGGAAAATTTCCAGATGCATCTTTAAATGTACCACCAGACCAATGAAAGTAACACATGCAAATTTCTACAGAGCTGGACTTCTCTATTAATTATGTGTGAGGTTATTGCATTCCCTCGTTGGGAATGCTTTTGGGACCAGTCAGTTTCCACCACAGACATTCATTAGTATGACAATGAATGATCATTTTCAAACTTTGTAGACACATTGTGATCGTGAAGATCTTGAACTGATCAAATTTGGATACAGATCACACCAAATATTAAAGCAATGCCACACTGTGATAGCAAAGAGTAGGATTGCCTCAGACTCTTGAAGCTGTTAGTGTGATAACCCAAAAGCATTTGACAGAACTTTTGCAAACTTTACTTGTGCAGGTGAAGAACTGGAATCTCTGACATTCTGAGAAACAACACTCCAAAACTGAGCCAAATCCACTTAGTAGCAGCGAAGGGAATAGTGACTGCAAATGACATTTGACCTTGTGAATGTGATAAGGCAAAACGTATCTGATAGACCTTATTACTGTTTCACAAAAACATCATGGATGAATATCTATACTTGATTGTGTTTTGAGACAAACTGCCCCAAAATTTTAGCAGCAATGCTAGCTAGCAGCCAAGGAAAGAAAGGGTAGCTGCAGAAGATACTTCAGCTTATAAACACAGTAACTCAAAAAGTATTTGATGGATCTTTTTCAAGTTTTGCAGACACATTAGAACATAAGAACATTCGGCCCATCGAGCTCGCTTGGGGAGAACTTAACTAATAGCTCAGAGTTGTTAAAATTTTATCTAGCTCTGATTTAAAGGAACCCAAGGATTCAGCTTGCACTACGTTATCAGGAAGACTATT